TTTTATTTTATTAGTTTTTTATAACACTAACCACTTAGAAAATATAATGAAAATTATTTATCTTGGGATTGTTTGGCCAAAATTGGTTCCTTCCCCTGCAAAAAGTCCAGTACTGAATAGAAACTAGGTTCTCCCAGGTCCCAAAAACCCGCTATACTTCAAGCTATTCTGACGACCCGTTTGCAAACGGCAACCCCTCAAGGCTGGTCGCGTCGGAAATTCATTTCCTTTTTGAAGGGTCGTGGTCTCATCACCGTTGAGCAAAAACGCTTACCATGTTAACAAAAAAACCATGATAGACGTGGTCAGCAATGGTGGAACGTTCCGTCGTGGTATGCAGCCTGAAACAAACCACTTGACAGAGAGATCCCGGAATATCCGAAAAGGCGAATAAAGTATTTATCGAACCAGCTAAAGGAACAACAAGGCGCCGGACCATTTCAAATGCGTCCGATGCAAAATTTTTGTCCGCAGATCATCTAGAAAGGAGCGGCTACGCGGAAGCGCGTCCCTTGTATTATGCTCCATTTGCTAGGCCGAAGAAAGAGACTAATGATATTTACGCCCTCGCCACCCTCCTTGAGCGCTTTCGAATAAAGCTGGAAAAGTCAATTTAGCGCAGAATTCAATGAGAATGTGTATCGGGGTTCCTAGGCAAACGAACAATGAAGTAATTTCGCACGCTTCGACCAGGCTTGAACTTCAATTTGCGAATCGCGGAGATCCAAACAGGTGAAGAGCAACAACCCTTGAACATTGCTCGAAAAATCGTGGTGTAAGGCGCCGGGTTGGTAGAAACGGGGGCGCAAGACGATGTTTGTGGGATGGCACTCGCACAAAGCTCGCAATTTCATTAGCCGCATCACCGGGAGCGAGGGCAGGAAGTACAATCGTCTCCCCGCACGAAACCGTGGCACAGATCCAAGCACGCCACCAACCAACACCAAACCTTGAACTAAAATGAATCTACCGTGGCTTACCCGTTTATTTCTTTTCCAATCACAAATTCACACAACGTACACATGAGAGATTATGAAGATGAGAAAGTAAGCACAGGGATAGACACAAAGTGTACCGCGATCGGCTCGAATGTAGGATGTTTACAGCATTTGACACCTGCTCTTCTCCGCCCAGGGATTCGGACCGGATGCTTGCATCAAGGGATCTTGCGTCGTCATAGTATAGCGTGCCAACCTGGAAAATAATATGTAAAAATTACCGAAAGAACGCGTATTGAAGAATTACTACAACTTCACGAACGCAAAAAAACTGACTCATCGAGTGCTTCACCACGCGTCATTCTCTGCTGCCCGTCCATCATAGGAGGTTCTTGGCCAGCGATAACGTTCTGTTGAGCGACTTCTCCGTCTGCCAACCTCTGGACATCTTCTCCGGCTTGTTGGCGTCCCGCCCGATCTGGGTGCGCGCCGTGCGTAGTGGATACGGCGCCTTGTTGACGAGATTGGCGGTACATTCGAGTCTAAAGATATGTAATCAATCCGAGGTTTCCATTGACGCGATTTATATAAATTATATAGTACAATTAATACCATACAATTTATACAAAGCACATCAATGAAAACCTGGCAAATACGAGATTTGAAGAAGAGAAAAATAAGATGCGGGAGAATAAGAAAATTCGAAAAGCTGGGCCGGTGTTACGCGTCGCTAAACACTTACGAAAAAGTGTACTCGCGTATTGTGTCGTACTGATGCGCCGGACTTTTCACTTTTTTTCAAAACCCTTGTTTCGTTGTTTTGCTTGTTATATTTCAATTATTTTCTTCTTTCTTGCTAAAAACAATAAGGAACTGTCTCAGCATCTAAATATAATCAACGACTACTTCTGTTCATTTTGTTCCGAGACTTTGAAGCAAATTAGCGTACGCAGCCCGGAAAAATCCGTCAATTATATAAATTACCTGTAAAATCACTCACTTAGATAAAAATATGTTTATGAAGGCGATTAAAAACTCGTCGTTTGAAGGGCTTTCGAACAGTGTAAATACGGGAAAATTTCACTTTACGGTAACTAAATAAAATATCGATTTTTCGATTGGAATCGATAGATCTCGTCGAGTTCTATCATTTCCAGTTGAAAAAACTATTGGGACTCGCTTCTAAAAAAAGTTATAAACATTTTAAATTGGCTGGTTCACTTTACGGTAACTAAATAAAATCTCGATTTTTCGACTGGAATCGATAGATCTCATCGAGTTCTTGCGTTTCCCGCTGAAAAAATGATTGGGACCCGCCTTTGACGAAAGTTATAAACGTTTTAAAGTGGTTGGTTCACTTTACGGTAACTGTGACATTGTCAGGCAAGGCGGGCCGTCGCTTCGGATGGGCTGCCGCTCCACTCTTTCGAAATGGGGGCGCCCCCGGCCGCTTCGCCGGCCTTGGCGCCCCCATTTCGAAACCCTGTACGAGCTCGCACCCATCCGAAGCGACTAGGCCCCCGGTGGCACGAAGCCTTTTTCTAGTCGCAGAGCGGAGGAAGTAGCCGTCACTTCCCTCCAAATTGCGTGACTCCTGTTGCAAAACCGTCTTTTTGATGTTTCAGAAATTCAGAAATTCGGAGGAAGTGCAAAATGTGTGCTAATCAAGTTTTTCCTGCGCCTTTTGCAGCAGCCCCGTATTTGGTACCCCAGTACGTTCACAACTATTACGTTTTTCCGTACAAAGGAGTCCCTCGTAGCCGAAACCGACTTTTTCGATGCGGGGTGAATTGGTTTAAAACAGCTATAACTTTTGTTGGTTCTATACCGGCAGCGGGGATTTTTCACGGAATCGGGGATTTTTCCCGAAATCGGGGATTTTTCCCGGAATCGCGGATTTTTCCCGGAATAGGGGATTTTTGCCGGGGATCACCGGAATCGGGGATTTTTGACGGAATAGGGGATTTTTCCCGGAATCGGGGATTTTTAAAAACGGAAAAATTGGCCGAATTTTGGGGCAGTCGAAATCGGGGATTTTTGAATTGGCGGTTTGGGGGGCTCCCCGACACTTGCGCCGCGGACACTTGCGCCGCGACACTCGCGCCCGAAACTTGCGCCGCGGATCGTATATTTATTTAAACTGTAGTGAATTTGGTCTTTTCGCGCGAATTTTGTATGTAATTACTGTATTTTGCATTAAAAGCCGACAGAAAGTGAGTAACGCCAATTCGGAGCGCTCCTAAAGGCGTCAGGCAAGGTGGGCCGTCGCTTCGGATGGGCTGCCGCTCCACTCTTTCGAAATCGGGGCGCCTGGCCGCTACGCGCGCCTCGGGCGCCCCGATCTCGAAACCCTGTACGAGCTCGCACCCATCCGAAGCGACTAGGCCCCGGGTGGCACGAAACCTTTTTCTAGTCGCAGAGCGGAAGCAGTAACAATTACCTTCCCTCCAAATCGAGTGACTCCTAGCGCAAAAACATCTTTCTATCGCTTCTTTAACCAGAATACTCCGCGCGAAAAATTGCATCTTCAAGTAGTTGAATCTCGGTATCGCGGCGCAAGTGTCCGCGGCGCAAGTGTCCGCGGCGCAAGTGTCCGCGGCGCAAGTGTCTGCGGCGCAAGTGTCTGCGGCGCAAGTGTCGGGGAGCCCCCCAAACCGCCAATTCAAAAATCCCCGATTTCGACGGCTCCAAAATTCGGCCAATATGCCTGTTTTTAAAAATCCCCGATTTCGGGAAAAATCCCCGATTCCGGGAAAAATCCCCTATTCCGGGAAAAATCCCCGATTCCGGGAAAAATCCCCGATTCCGTGAAAAATCCCCGCTGCCGGTATAGAACCCTTTTGTTAAAAGCGAGTCCCAATCGTTTTTTCAACGGGAAACGCAAGAACTCGCCGAGATCTATCGATTTCAGTCAAAAAATCGAAATTTTATTTGAGTTACCGTAAAGTGAACTTGCCATTTTTAAATGTTTATAACTTTTTTAGAAGCGAGTCCCAATAATTTTTTCAACTGGAAATGGTAGAACTCGACGAGATCTATCGATTCCAATCCAAAAATCGACATTTTATTTAATTACCGTAAAGTGAAATTTAGCCGTAAATACCATCGCGATCCGATCCTTCACTCTTGAGTTAGCGGATTGTCTTTTTAGGACATCCTGTATTCTCTTATTTCCATATCTGTTTTCCATACAAACGTTCCGCTTCCAGGATGCTGGGCGCAATTTGGTTACGTGGCGACCTACAAAAGCAGTCGATTTTCGCCGGTGGGCATCTCTTACCCGGCCAACGTCAACGCTGCATCGCCTCATCGTTTCCGCTCCTCCTCCAAGGCGGCGATGATGAACAGCAGCGACAGCATCAGCGGGTTTTCACTATATGTGCAGGTGTGTGTTTAGCTTATCTTGTTTAGCATAAATTTCTGCCTTATCCAACCTTTTTAGAACCTGCGGCATAAGATGGGCGGACGACGGTTGTTCGGGAACACAGCGTACGAGACGGCGTTCCCTTTCTGGCAGCAGATGGGCGGTGAAGAGAAGCAAGTCTGGGAAGATCGGGCCCGCGTGCTGAAGGAGTTCCGCCAGGTAGCCCCATGGCCTCCAAGGCCCTTGATCAACATCTCCTTTTGACGGCTCAGGACCAGCAGAAGCGCATGTTCGGGCCAGCGCCTGCACCGCCCGGCTGGACCGGGCAACAACCGAAACCGGAAATCTCCAACAAGCCCAAGCCGCTCATCGAACGCGTCGAAGCCCCGCCGGCACCGCGCATCTACGCTCAGCCACCGCAGCCGCAGCGCAAGCCCGACTACTGCTGGGCCCCGCCACCGATCGCGGCCCGTGGCCCGCAGCGTCGCCGGAACCGACAGATCGCCAAGCCGAAGCCGATCCCGCTGCCGATCTTTCGTCCGCCCATCATTGACGAGATCGGGCAAGAGGTATATTTTCGTTCTACGTTCATTTCATCGCTTTTCTTTCCAAAAATTCGTTTTTGTTTTTAGTTGGGGATCGATGAAGAAGACGAATGGGCCGTTGCCGCGCCGGAAGTTGATGGGGAGGGCACCCAGATGGCCGACGTCGAGGAGACCAATCGACTGCTCGACGAGAAGTACGAACACGACAAGCAGCGCGTCGCCGAGATGTTGAGGAAGCGCACCAACGGATGCCAGCACAAGATCAAGGTGTTTTTTTTAGTTTTGTCTTGCGAACATCGTTTTCTACAGAAAATGCGCTGGCTGATCTGCTCGACTCAGACGTACGGCCTCTTCGACGGAGCCACGTGCTACCCAGCCGAATTGGGCATCTGCGAGTTTGACTTCAACGAGGGCATCCTGGAGACGGTGATTTCATTTGTCTTTAGCTTAATATTTTTTTAGTTCTCGACCCCCGTCGGCCCGTGGCACATCGACAATGAGGTGCAGCGGACCCGCGCCCTCTACCACGCCAGCGAGACGCACCAGATGCCGCTGGGCCGCCGTGGACGTCTCGAGAAGCCGGCCGTCTGCATGGAGATCCTCGGGCGGACCGAGCCCCGGCTGGCCGCTGCTCACGGGGTGCGCGTCGGGCTGTACCGCGATGAGATTGACGACCACTCACGCGGTAAGCCGAAATCTCGCTTCCGTTAACCATCTCAGTTCTTTCCAGGCTTCTACCACCTCGAGCATTCCCCGAAGCGCCGCCCTCTCGTCTGCCTGCGTCACGAGTTCCGCCTCGTCCAAGCATCGTTGCGTGAGCTCTGCCAGAGCGTCAATTTGCAGTACGAAGGTGGATACCAGTCATTTTCTACTCAAAATTGGGCGTATTCTTATGTGCATTGATTCTCAAGAATCTTGCATTCGTCGAAACCTCGTGTATGCCCAAAAACGTGATATTTCCAAATGCTGCGAATATTCATTCTTTGCAGGGTTCCCGAAGGCCGACGACGATTTCATCCTGGCCGAAGCGCTGGTCGACGCCGTGGCCGAGTTTTTTGATGGAGAGCCGCTGCGCGAGTATCCGGCTTTTTTGAAGGGACTTGGCTCGAGGCTGCCGCGTGAGGTTCGTAGTTATTTCTCCTCCTCCTATAGACTATTCCATTTCAGTCGGTGACGCCGTGGGAAAAGCGTGACGGTGCCCTGTTCTGCCCCCTGCATCGCCCTGACCGGAACAGCTGCTGCGCTGCGGTGACGGTCAGCCGTGCGGCCTACATCTTGCTGTACGCGCTCGACCATATGCTCGATTAGCTGAAGCCGCAGCCGGAAAGCAACCCTCTTACAAAACTCGTCTCTTCGTCGTCTTCCTCTTACCAAACTGTTGTTGGTAGTCTTTAAGATGTTCTCTCTGTAAGATGGGGCCTATCTCTATCTGGCAATCTGTTCCCAAACAATGCGTGTGCCATGAAATAAATGGGTCAAATAAACGGTTTTTCTATGTCTACATGGTTGTCCCACATTGCCATGCAACTACAGAGTGGTATTCTTGGCGCAGGTTGAAGAATAAATATTTGTATTCGGTGGTCATTGTCATTAAATGAAGATTGCATACACTGGTTATCACAAAATGCCAGAATCAAGTTGCGAGGTCACCGAAACCAAGCAGCCTGCCATGAATTTGCGTTCATGCGAAAAAGCGGAGCGCGCGTGTAAATACATTTTGAAACCGAGGGCAAGCGAAGTTGTGTTTTGTGTAGAAGACGGCGGATCGAGGAACTGAACAAAATCAGGCGTATGGCTTGGGGTGGGAGGCGGTAGGTATCGAGAAAAAAAAAGACGTAAAAGGCTTGTCGTCGCCAGCATCACAGACTCTCAAGAAAAAGGCACCAATAAGGGTTCCAAGCGAAGCACAAAATAAGCCAAAGTGAATTTGTCTGAGGCACAACCGAAAGGGGAAACGGAACAGGTAAATGGGATGGGACAATTTCAGCACATTTTTGCGAGGATTATTAAGTTTAGGGAGAGCAGCACCTTGTCGTTGATAATGGATATGTTGCACTGGGGGGACGGGGAAGGGATTGAGCAATTCGTATCGATTATTATATCCTATTATTGCAATGGATATACAGGTATTGTGTACCGCGGTGAACGTCACACGCGTGAGACTTGATTGTCGGCGCCTGAAAAAGATTCGGGGGTTTTTTGGTTGCTAATATTTTGATATGGAAGCCTACTTGGTTCTATTGCATATCCGGGGGTAAAGCAACTTTTTTCAATGTTTCAAGTATAAATGGCGAAAAGTTTTTCTAAACTGTTTTTTTCATTCCAAAACGTACAAACTTTCTCAAATTTTATCAAAAAGCCGATTTCTCGACCCAAAAATGGACGGTTTTGATCCAATTTTCTTTATGACTTTGGAAGATTATTTTTCGCGGTGTAATACACTAATATTACGTACCTTCTTGTATGATATGCATTCGGTTGGTGGCTCTCGGCGGCGGCGCCATCACGACGGGTCGATGGCCAACGAGGAACGCCCGAAACGCGGACGGAGAAGCTGAGGCAGGGATAGACATCTTGGATGGATGGGAGAGGGGACGGCGAGAAGATGAGGACGACGTCAGGGATGATGTCGATGAACCGGTGACTCCAGAAGATGAGGGACACGGTGAAGGGGACGGCGTCTGTCGGTGTGGCCATGATGGACGCAGCGTTTGGTCGGGATCACCACCCCCTCCGACATCGCTACTCGATGAGGTGGAACGGGTACTGAAAGCCAATACAATCATGGATTCCGACAAGGGATCTTTTTAGGCGATTCTGGGGTTGTGTTATGTGAAATAGTGCATCCGACAAAGCTTGAACTCTGAACAAACTCCATCTTGATAGAGGTCTTCGAAAAAATCGTCGGTCCCTTCGCATTATCGGGGGACCAAGTTTTGCCTAGGAACAAACTTTTAAATAGAAATAGCGGACGTGTATCTAAACGCATTTGTTACTATTGCTAAGCGTAGTTTTACAAATTTTAGT